CATATGGAACTTATGGGGGACAAATAGTCCGTGATCACTCAAGCTTGACCTGACAGTCCGTATGAAGTGCCAAATTTGACGAAAAAAGGCCAGATTTCAAGGCTTTTTGAAGAAATGCGGCGACATTAAAAACAATCCTAAAAACCTAGCACCGGATTTAAGAAATAAAATCTATATGTGACCTTTCTGGGTATTTTTCGTGAGAAAATTCGAAAATCCAATCACGTATTTTTGCCCTTGAAGAGTTGAAGTTGAGCATTAAAATAGTATGGCGATCCATGTTTTCACCACAGTTCTCTCCAAAAAACTGGGTCTCGCCCATAACTTATTTTGTTAATAAAAAACCTAGCACCGGATTTAAGAAATAAAATGTATGTGTGACATTGCTGTGTATTTTTCGTGAGAAAACTTAAAAATCCAATTATGTATTTTCGACTTTGAAGAGTTGGCGTTGCTTCGCAACCGTTTGCGTTTCGGGATTCCTGTCCCGACGATGAACGGATGCRMAGKAKACTACTTCTGTAGGCACAAGCAACAAAAATCAAACTTGAATTTTTCAAATTATTGCTTTCTTATTATATGTTTAAAATATACTCAAAACTATGCAGTTTTGTGTTAATTCAATATTTGAAAAATTTATATCAGTCAATGAACGTAACTGTGATATTATATGTACATGTACTTTCCTTTCTAGAGGTGACTTTGCTATTAAGGATATTTAATGGTCAGATGATGATGTTAATGAGGTCGATCGACGACAAAATATTAATTAACTCCATTGTATTACAGCCTTTTGCAAAAATTATGAGAATTGTTGAAATATCTAAATATCATAATATCGAGTGCATGATGGGTAATTCCGCGCGATGCCCTTAGTCCCTTGTCTTTGTAGTTTAGTTTTTTTTTTGGCGACAGACTTATCCGTAGTTTTGAACATTTTCTCGATGTCAACAATGAATTATTCTAGCAAACCCGCGTGTTCCGTACAATATATGGATATGGATATTATGATATTTAGATATTTAGACAATTCTCATAATTTTTGCAAAAGGCTGTATATTTCATGAAGTAAATAAATAAATTACATGCATATATACATGCATGCWTGGATGCATGAGTGAGCCTGGACAATAATCCAAGCAAATGTCACCCGATGTATGGCAATAAGTTTCATATGCGCTAATATATATCGAAAAGTAAAATATATTTCCGGCTGGAAGTTCGCTTTGAAATCACTAGCGAGAAATCTTTAACAATTAGAAAACACTTGAAATGATCCTTAACACATCTATGTTACCTCAATAATTCTAAAGAAAATCAAAGTTGGCGCTTTTCACTAGTCAATGACCATTGAAAATAGAACGCGAATAGCGTGTAGAATTTGCAGTAGTCCACTAGTRTGGTAATACTAAAWTGTACTACGTGATTTCACTCAAATGCTAACAGCATCTGTTGAAATGGAATTGGACCAACGCATAAAAGGTCATSARCTATTTAAATGAACTGCATGTCCAGGCATAAAAMAMTTTTTAATTCAATTCAAACGATAATTAACCCTATTGACAATAAGCTCTTTTTGAAGCAAGCTGTGACTGGGAGGAGTCTTTTTCGGCCCTCTCTATATCTTAGAAAAAAAAGGTCTATGACAATGAAATTTCCACACAATGATCGCCCACGTAAATCGAACCGCCACACGTAGTCTTGACCCGCGGGAACAAAACGCGACGTCATAATAATGTCATTTATATCATTTTAACGATTTATAATTCATTTTAATAAATTGCCTACAATGCCATAGAGAATGCTGCAATATAATCTCTTTAATATTGAAATGACTTGTAAATAATATTTTCCATTGTCTGTTTAATTGACCCCCGTTCCATATGACGTCACAATGACGTCATAGATATCCGCTAGTTTTATAAATGATATATATATTATTTATAATCAATTTATATCTAAATAACTAGTTAACATATTTAGGCATTACAGCTCTGCTGTGATGTTATGGTTCGTTTTGTAATCATGGCAGCAAGTGTGAYATCATAATCGTGCTGACGTTATTTCCTATAGCGTTTTTGTTGTCTGTGAATAATTTGACTCCAAATTTCACTCTTTTTGGCTACATTAGTATTTTATGTTCAACTTKTCAATTTGAGTACTTTTTGAAGTTACAAAATTTTAAAAAAGCAATTTTGACAAGAATATCTGTCATATTCAATAGGACTYTCCATCTTGAATCCGCCATCTTGGATTTTTTTTAATTCCCATTAAAAATAAGCATGGAGTCAAATAGTTCAAAGCGTATGAAATACTTCTCAAAATTAACATTTAATGAATAAAAAAGTGAGTTTCGAAGTGTTACTGATGATTTTAATCAAAGTTCCTCAATAGGTAAAAAATGCATAATAAATCAAAAAATAAGCTTTAATTAAAAATGAGAAATTAAGCGTATTTTACATTTTTGAACCCTCTCCCCCCCCCTCCCCCCTCCCCCCATAAAGTTTACAATATACTAAGGGACAGGAGATTAAAATAGTCCAAGCCATGTACATTTTGTATCAATTCCCTAAACATTTAAATACACAGTAAAATGTATGATGTTTCAAAATAATTTATGATTATGATTATCTCCGATTAGGTGAATGATACCTGTTATTTTCACTTACAGTGGATTCTGATTTGTAATCGTTCGTATTTGGCAGCCATTATCCAGTCTTTSTTCTTCGTCGGAATGCTCGTAGGTTCGTTCCTGTCTGGTATTTTATCGGAYGCGTTTGGGAGAAAAACTGTTCTTTTTGCATCACTTGGATTGATGGTAAATATGTTTTCATGGATGCGTATTCACTAGATAATAAAAGAGGCCTTCAATCAAAAAAAATAGATAGTCTTTTACAATAAAAAAATGACAACCTTTATTAGAAAAAAAAGACAAAAAGCATACGGTCACATTTGATGAAATAATTTTAAAACTTAGACTTCCGATGCACTTGATTGATTAGCAATCTTGTTTAAAAAGAAAAGAATGGAAAGCACTTTAAGTTTCCAAYGCACCTGTTAAGCGGTCATTCAGAAATTATGCAGACGGTCAGACGACTGATCTAGAYTAGGGTTTAAAATTACCAAATTGTCAGTGGAATATTTTTGCATAGCAACCTGTGAAGATGGAAGTATATTGCTTGAATAAATGAAAAGAAAAAGAAGTATTTTTTTTTCACTTCTTCCCACTACATACGGCACTTCCAATTATAAATACCATTTTCCAAAGGTTGAATATATAATGTATATATTGCAAAGTCTTTGAAATTCATGTTTTCAGTCTATCAATGGCGTATTACAATCATTTGTAAAGTCTTCAATTGGCCTTTTTGCTTTTCTTCGTTTTACAACTGGAGCATTCATGATCAGTGCTACATTATCAACATACATCCTAGTGTTGGAGATCATTGGGCCAGATCACCGGACTAGAATGGGGAATGTTAACCTGATATTTTGGTGCACTGGTGAATTGGCACAGGCCTTTGTGGCCTATCYTATAAAAGATTGGAGGACTTATGTCTTGGTGTCAAGTGTTCCCCCCTTCTTGCTGTATTTCTTTTGGTGGTAAGCTCCTTAGATCGATATCAGTCTAAAACTATTAGCTTTTTTATGACTCTCGGACATTCSTATTTACTCAGAACGTTTTCAGGGTTCATTTGAACTATAAGCCAAGGGCTGTGGGGACGCAAATTAAAGAGGCTTCAAAGTTATTATATTTTTCCTCCATGGACAAAATCTTTGGTGAACAATGGAGCGGACGTACCCCCTCCTTACCCTAGTGATATAAACTGTCGACATYATCTTTTCAATAAACCTGCAAGTGCACTTTGGAATTGGAAATCACTCAAATTTGTGGCCTTATAGCCATGAATGCTTTCATACCAAATAAGAAAGAAAGAACATGAAATATCGTCTAGAAAAGAAATCTCAGGATTACTTGCTAAARGACAAACCKCCGAAAACTGCTCTCACAACATAACTGTCTCTTAAAAACTTGGCTACTTTAAACTTWCATAGTATTGGACAATTTACGGCACAAATGATTAATTATAAAGTTTTTTTCATAGTTTTAGCGTTTTTACTCTAGTGTTTACAGCAATAAATATGTAAAATTGAAACTATACAAGATCGTTATATGACTAGAGTGAACTTTGGGTAATGGAAGAGCAATTTTTTCTGCCATTAAATGGGAAAAACCTTGTTTGATGCAAGTCTGAATAACAATATATATTTAACTCAATATTATTAAAATGCAACATCGTCATTATTATTTTTGAGCATTTAATGTTTATTCTTAGGTCTATACCAGAGTCCCCTAGATGGCTTGTCGTTAAAGGCAAACTTGAACAAGCCCAACATATCATCCTAAAGTACGGTGGAAAAGACAATAAACCCTGTGATCCTGAASAGGTGATGACCATGCTAARGTCMATTCACCAGCATCAAATTCAACGAAGTTCGAATGTAAAGAGATATACACCATTAGATCTTGTCCGTACACCAAAGCTGAGAAAATGGACCATCATCATTTGCTTTGCATGGTAAGAAGACCGCATGAAACATTTCTGAAAACCGTAATTGTTTAAATTGCGCTGCATTTTCCTGGGAGGCGTATTTCGGGGGTATCGACTATTTGTACGTGTTTGAATCTTGTAAAAATAATTAAATGTTTACTGTGGCATCGAGAGCACGTTAAAAATGAAAGTTTAATTTATTCCTATTCAGACTGGGAAGGGAAGGGTTTTTATGCCCCCTTCGAGTTAATAACTTTGGAACCAAAAGAGCTACGGCTCTGAAATTTTGAGTTTGAACCACGTTCCCATGATGCAATTCGGACGCGCAAGTGTGAAATCTGGATTTGCTGTTGTTGCTATTTCTCGGAAACTTACAATTTTTTAGAAACAAAGTTCACCGTCGACCTATAATACCTTAAGCGGAGCGGTAAAGGGTTAATTTTTTTTGGAGGGGGGGGGGCTTACGCGTTTTTAATGTGCTTTTAACAGGGGATTTCTGATGAATTCACGACTTTCCATACCCAGCTTCAGTAACTGAAACTGCGTATGGAAAGTCGTGAATTGTTTTTGAAGCGAGGTGAAGAGCGGGGATTTTAACGATCGATTTTTCTATCAATAGTCATCACAATCACGTCACACTCATCACCATCATATTTTAACCCATTCACAATATACTAGCATTCTGAGTCACCAGTGCCTTCCACCATATTGGCCAGTAATTTTGCCACTGTATCTCAACTTATCGTTACCTTCTTTAATAGCATGTATAGCATTCACCGGAATCAATTGTCGTATATTTTTATTATTAACCATAAAATACGGAATATATAGTGATTTTCACGGTCAAATGAAAACGAATTTAATTCACAWCAATGTTTCTAGGTTCACCACTTCGTTTGTGTATTTCGCTCTTGTTATCTATGCATCTCAGCTCCAAGGMAGCTTATACGTCATCACCCTGATATTAGCGACYCTTTCTTCTGTTCTTACCTTGCCAACATGGTTTTCAATGAACAGGTGAGTGTGGTGACGGATTGATAGGTTGGTTGATTAGGTGTTTGAATAATTGCTAGCTTGCWTGACTGCTTTATTAACGCATGATAATAAATTGTTAGCCRCCCTCCAGTAGTYTAYTTATTTATTKTTTATTTTTTAAGTTTGGGACGTCGTGTTACTCAATGTATATTGATGGTCATGACTGGTGTGTTACTGCTTTTAATTTTGATTTTTACAAAAGGTTTGTTCTTTAATTATTCTGTTTTAGCTGTTATTTAATTACAAAAAATTAACTCYTGATATTTAAGTAGTCAACAGTGTTTTACTGAGATATGATATGAGATGATTTAGACAGCAAACTTCTTTCTCGTGAACTACATGCAAGCAATTAGATTAAACGCGTCAAAAAGTCGACGTATGAATCGGGGCTCACATATTTTAAGAAATTGTCCCTTTTGCCTTGCTAAAGCGGCTAATATACTCAAAGGAAAATAAATACCTTTTAGAACGTAGGAAACACAAATGTTCTATAAATAGTCTTACATTGTATACAATTAACAATGATTTTGCAGTAATCTTGCTTTGAATTATGTAATTTTTCAGTCATGGTAGGGGGAATGGCTTTTTATAAATAAAATTTACATATCGCGCTTGCGCTTCTCTCGTTTTATCTTCGATAATTTTGTCTTTATTAATCAATATATTTATAAATTAATAAAATATTTATGAATTAATAAAAAACAATAAAAATGCAGAATAAATTAAGGTTGCCGCCTAAATTGGTCAGAATCCGCCAATTTAGACGATCCAGCTTTTTTTAATCTAGCAATTTTTAATCTAACTATTTTTATGGCAAAATTGCTTTTCTACTTATGAAAAATAACAATATTTTAATTTTTATAGTTAAAACTTTAAATCAACATTTCATGTGTGCATCGACTCACTATAAATCATAAACATTATCATCATATCGTCATCATGAATCCTAAAAGCTATCTAAGGACTTTTATGACCAATTTCATATTCAAATTCGATTTTTTTTTATGTTTAGAAGGATATTCTAGTACGACAACCTATTTAGCAGTAGCTGGGACTTTGTCCATTGCCCAGTGTTGGAGTTGTGTGTACCTCGTATCGTCAGAACTGTTCCCTACAGTGTTGAGGTAAAGACCTTAAAGGCCCAGTTTGCACCATTATGCTTTGGGGCAGCAAGGGCCTAGCGGCTACCATTTCAGTTTACCGAAAGTCTATACTGAACTGTGCTGTGCGTTTCGAATCCGCTCATATCTTGACCATCTCACTTTTCTAGGCACTTTAAACGATAATATTAGAGTTTTCAACCATTAGGCATTCCTTTTATGGTGATATTTGGACATTAGAAGTATTTTTTTATCAATGAATCTTAACAATAACAGAGGCGCGGAAAGCATAATGGTGCAAACAGGGCCTTTAAAAAGGCCTATTTACGTCGTACATTTTTTTCTTGCCGCGGTCGCATGCGCGCAGTATGTTGAATAAGAAAAAGTGGAAAAGACTTGATTGTCAAGTGGTTGAGGCGGAAGACGACTTTGACTCCTCATTATAGATATATTTATCGCACAGCACCTTGTCTGAGTGAAGCGCGTATTCGGTGTCAGTGATTATAGGCGGCCTGTATAAGGCTAAATGAAACTTGAGTGAGACTCAAATAGCTCGTGTCAAAATAAATTTTACATTATTATACACAAATTTATCGTCCGCATTTTGAATAAGCCCCTTCAAAAAGAACAGCATCTTTATTCTACTGGACTATGATGTGAATGTCATTTACAAAGGAAGCCATTTTTGGTGAAATGCTAGTTTGAACTACTTTATTTACACAACAGCATTTGAGAAAATATGCCAAAAAATTTAGCTGACAGCAACTGTCAAATACAAATTTTGGACTAAAATTACTTCCATTTTTTTCTCAACCTCTTTCTTGAAACATTGCTCACACACCATATAAAAGAGCTATACTCTCCTTAAGTAGAGTCTGTCGTTCGACTTCCATRTATGGATGTCCAGATACATGACTCTGATGTACATAAAGAAGGTTCATTAATTATATACAGCTATTTCAAAAAACGTTGTCGGGGAGAACGGCGAACGGCGATTGTCGAAGGGAGATTGCACGACAGAAAGGGACTATAGTTACTATGGTTACACTGTTTGGATAAACAAAATTTCACTTATTGGATTCACTTTACATAGAAATGGAGACTAAATGGAGCCAATGTTTACCACAGACCATCTTACAGTACAAATCAGTTGTTATTGCCTTTCAACTAGCAAAACCCATGGCTACTTTCGGTCGTGCAATCGAAGTTCGACAATTGACATTCGCCATTTTATCCGATAACCTTTTTTGACAGCTATATTCAATCTCATGGTTAATTCATGCATGCCTTTGCATGAATTGATCTCATGGCTTAATGGTTAGGTTTAGGGAACTTATAGGGTTAGGCAATGCCAGGGCTGGTTTGAAATCCTAATAATTTTATTGGGATGTGAGAGCCTTCTATGTGTACATCAGCGGCATATTTGTACATGCACAATCATATATGGAAGTGCATCCTCTATGCGCCATCTTGAAAGGTGCGACAGTCCATGAAATTGCATCTTGCTTTTTTTGATGAATCAAAGTCAAAGCTGCCTTCCAAGATGCCGCTTAAACTGTGAATAATAACAGTCTTAGAAATTATATTTCGAAAATTTTTACCTGTTTTTTTTTTTATTTATTTTTTTATTTTTTTATTTATTTTTTTATATATTTTTTTTTTGTTTTTTTTTTTGTTTCTTTGTTGTTGTTTTTTTGTTTTTTGTTTTGTTTTGTTTTTCGTTTTTGTTTTGTTTTTCTATTAAAAAGTTTTCCTATAAAAACTTGGCCTTAGTGTGCACAAAGACTAGACTACTGAAGTTTTCAAAGTCTTCATAGATGATCTTTGATCGCCAATTTGTGTTTTTGAACTCCAAAGAATAAGTTAAGAATAAGTTCTTTAATATTTGATGTGATCATTTATTGCACATCTATTTTTGACGCTCAGCTCCACTGGTCGCAACAAGAACAAGACTCTATCGGTTTGTTTGTTTCTTTTCTCCACAGACAAACAGCGCAGGGAGTGGGTTCGACCGCTGCTCGTGTAGGTGGGATTATCGCACCATTCTTACTTATGCTGGTACGAATTGAAAGTCATTTTATATGTCAAATCTCCATAATTTTGTTTTGTCATCATATTTTTAATCTTTTTTTAAAAAAATGGCCGTCTCTGCATAATTTAAAATCATCCCTGAAATTTGGACTACTTGTTTTTGTATTTTTTGTGTGTTTGTTTGCTGTTGTTGTTGTTGTTTTTATATCGCAAATAATAAAATGTCGATGCAAATCGCATATCACAAAAACAAAGTCAAACATAAATTTCTTCATTGGAAGTCTCTATCCGAGTCTTTACGCTTCAAAATCAGAATAAACTCTCAGAGATGACGTCGGCAGAGAKGCATTCGCTCAGTTGTTTTGTTGATTCAATTGGATTTCCTTGTTTCTAGARTTTTTTTTCTCGGAATTCATCTCCTCTCCTCTCTTCATTGCATCATTTCTGTTATTTGTAGGCTCTCTGATTGCGAAAACTACATGTAGCCTGTTAACCAATCAGCTTTTTAATAGTTGATACAATGTATAGTATAATAAGAATGAGTCAGAATACACCCTTTTCAGTTGCTCTTAGGCCTCGACAGCGTGTTAAATATTCTTTTGAATTTGTAGGAATGTGAGCAATGCAAACATTGATATGAATAGTCTCATTTGTCAAATTCACTGAAAAGAATAATTAACTTGCTATCGAGGCCTAAGTGCAACTGAAAATGTGTACTAAGAACAGCTATATCATGAAATGGGGTTGAAATGGGATATAATAAATGGATATAAGAAATTTCATGGATTTCTCATGGGAGGTTTTAAAAAACTTAGTGGCTTTATCGGTAGGTTTACAAATTGATTGTTGTGAAGAAACAAA